GTACCCGCATATGCTACGCGTTGTTGCATATATCTATCGTTTTACTAATCGATGTCGACGACGACCTACTGATAGCGGTCCGTTAGTACGTCGTGAATTAGATAATGCGGCTCTTATTATCGCCCATTGTTCACAGCGCTATAAATTCAGTAAATTACATTATGAGTTGTCACACAATTTGCCCGTGTCAATAAAACCAGTNTTATTGAAGTTATTGAATCTAAATGAGATAAAAATCAAAGCAGTTGAAAATGTATTCTAACTTAAAAAGAATTAAGAAAAATGCAAAAATTTCATGGCCATACGCGGGTTGGAACCTTGTACCCGACCGCGTAAGACAAGTTTTACCGATTCGGCAACTGTACGTCGCTATCGTCGACGGAAAAAATTGGTTATTTAAGCTAGTTCAAATTTCAAAATTATTTTTCTCGACTTCAAAAAGCAAAAAAGTTTAAATAAGTTTAACTTTCTATGCTATAACAATTTTTTATTTATATAATATTTATGAATATCTGTACTCCCCTTGTAAGGTATTATAAAATAAATTAAAATACAAACCCAGAATTTTAACACAAAAATAACATATTTTTGAATATGGTAGTCATTTTCACCACGAAGACAAATCCAGAGGTCAAATTTTTTTTTTCATAATAAAGTACATTACATTAGCTTTAATTTAAGCTATATATATATATAAGTGTCAGACCTTCCGGAACATTTTCAAAAGTTAAGTTGAAAAAGTTCATTTTTTGTGAAAATTTGCCACTTTAAATCACCCTCTTTGGGTAGGTAAAAGGTTAAATTTATGAAAAAAATATATCAAATGATAGATAAAAACATCAAGCTTCTATAAAAAAAAATTGTATTGATATGTTCATTTTTGAAATAGTTATGGCAGTTTTTACTAAAAAAATTGAAAAAAATTCAAAAATTAGCGATTATTAAATTTGTAATTTTTTTGAAGGTTTCCCCTATTTACGGGGAACGAGGAAAATTATTTTCAATTTTAAGGGTAATGTCTTCGTAATATCAACTCAATTTCAAATAATTTCAATTTTTTACTTTTCTTGAAGTATAATTTTTATTTAATTTATGGGCAATACAATTTTCAATAAAGACACGATTCCACCAAGCGCGATTTATTTTTAAATCTTTTAATTCAAACAAGTAAGCACAATTTATTTTTAACACGCATAATTTAATTTTCATAAAATAAATAGTTTCAATTTTCATATAATAAGAGCGATTTAATTCTCAAAATTTGATTTAATTAAATTTTTAATTTGACAAAGAAATAACTCTCAACCAATTTTTCATATAATGTAAAAAACGCAATTCAAATGTTTTTTTTTTTAAAGTAAATTTTCAAAAAACCCTTAGTAAATTAACCAAGCCTGTTGTTGGATGCCACTTTGTTATAATTCAAATAACAATTATTAATAAAATAAAAATAGAAATATAGGGACTTGAGTTTTTGTATAAGGCGAGAACCTGATGTTGTGGTTCTATCGAGGTCGTATGGTTCGAGGGTTTAGAACGACAAAGACAAATAGATATAAAAATAATAAACGCAGTACCTCTAATTGAGGTGTAATAAACTTTTGTCTGGTTAGTTTCTACTGTCTTACCTAAGAGACAATGAGACGGCAGAGCCAGTCCACGAATACCATATAACGTGATTATGTATAATATTTTAACCAACAAGTCAAAATTAATACTTTAATATATTAATTTAATAAATGATCTATTGCTTGTCATCCTTTACTTAAATTTAATAATTCTAAATAATTGGGATAACATAAATTTACTTATTTCTTTTATTGTTGCAAATTGTTGTGAGATAATTCAATAAATGTTTCGATATATATATTTATACTATCAGAGGTATTCAATTTGTATTTCGTCACAAGATAAAAATTAAAAGAAATTCTTTTCACATATACATAAGCAAGATGTACGACAAATATAGCTGACAACAACACGGGATCGTGGCTAACAATTATTTTTTTATTAATGTAAACTAGAACTCCAACTCTCGTCGCTCTAGACGCTCTAAAAGGGTTTCAATGCTTTTTATAGAAAATGATAGTACCTCATATCCAAGGATATTGTTGCTTGCGCTTTTAGTGATCTTTTTAGTTTATTGTATTTAATTACACGATTATTATATTGAGACAGCATATTTAACAATGGATAAATTGACATATATATAAATAATAAGAAATTGTGTTAAACAGTGTACAGGGTGATTTTTTTATCATAACCCACTCAATTACTTGCAGAATAATAATAATTTAAACATTTTTTTAGCTTCGATGCGAAGCGGAGAAGGTATTAATTTTACTATGATGTGTTTTTTTTTATGTCTGTTGCCACTTTTTCTCAGCTCTCACTGGACCGATTTCTTTAAAAAATACGTCAAAAGATCACAAATCATATCTAGTTGAAGACATTACCCTTAAAAATTGAAAAAAATTCTCTCGTTCCCCGCAAATGGGGGAAATCCCCCAAAAAATTACAAATTTAAAAATCGCTAATTTTCGAAATTTTTTAACTTTTTTTTCTTAAAACTTCCATAACTTTTTGAAAAATCAACAAATCAACATAAATTATTTTGTATACTACAACCTTAGATATTTCCTTTTCATTTGATATAATTTTTTTGAAAATCTAACGATTAACCTGCTCATTGGGGAAGATTTAAAATAGAAACTTTTTTACGAAAACTAACTTTTTCAACTTAATTTTTGATAATGTTTCNCTAACTTTTTCAACTTAATTTTTGATAATGTTCCGGAAATACTGCGTCCTTTAAACATATATCAAAGTAAAGCTAATTTTATGTACTACAAAATGAAAAAAAAAATTTGTCCCGACGATCTATCTTCTATACGCAAACGGCTACCGTATTCAAAAATATGCTATTTTAACAATANGGATTTGGTGGACTTTGAAGTTATCTTATAATTCAGAGAATTTCCATTTTCAGGTATAAAACTGTGATGTTGACGAATAGCAGGACATTTTTTTGCAGTTTTATACTGCTCACCTAAGTGGTGTTTANTTTTTTTTTTTACATAACGATTGTATGGTACAGAACGCCTTTAGAAGGATCTAGTTGACCAGTTATAACAAAGATCATTGATTATATTATTTCGTGGGACAGCTGATCACCAGCATCTTGCTCTACTCACCCCCTTGTTCAACCATCACGGCAAATGATGACCTCCATGTCGATTGTCATCCGTGTACAGTTCATTGTCATAAGTCAGTCACCTGGTCTACTGTGTGATAACATAGATTGGCTATATGTTTATAATTTTTATATTGGCTGCTAGCTCCGTCAGAAAAGTAGTGAATTTTTTTTATATTTGGCATGAAATCTTTTATTTTTTTAATTAAGTGAGATTGATAAACATAAACCGCAGCTGTATTATGTGTCAAATGATCACTAATAATACAATAATTTTTTGCTTGTAAAGAATCAATTGCGTTAGATTTATAATAAATTGTATAAGGATGTAAAGTTGCTTGAGAATTTACCCAGTGGTAGCTTTGAATTTCATCCTGGATTACGAACGTGAAATTCTTAGCAAAGTCGCCTAACACAATACACTCATTTACAGCAAGAGAGTTTTTCTTTTCACGTAAGTACGTAGACTGAGCTTTTGAAATGAAATGGTGTTTTTTAACAATAGATAGCTGCTCAACTAATTTTTCCAAAAATTCTGCTCTATTTTGAGTAATTTTGACAAGTGTTGTTTACCCACTATTAAATACAAATTTAATAAAAATAGATAACCAGTTTTAAATGCAATTTAACATTGTCATATTACATGAAGAAATTGATACAAAAGTCACTNAACATTGTCATATTACATGAAGAAATTGATACAAAAGTCACTATAAGTAATATGATAAAATTAATACCCTATGTATAAGAAAGACAACCCATTGACATTATACTTTCCTTAAGAATGAAATTGAAGTACTATTTAATATGAGTAAAACAGTGCTAGTTCCACAGTAATAGCTTATTTGGATAAGAAGTTATAAGCTCTAGAATATAGGCTGTTTTTTCATGTTTTTAATTATAAAAAATGCACTATCTGGTAAAAAATAATAATAAAAAAAA